GTTGAGACGTCTCAAAGCGCTTCGCGGGAAGCACCGTAAAGCGGATTGGCCGCGGACGTTTGCGGGCGAATAACTTCGACTTGATTTTGTTTGGGCCTCTGTCGTTCACGGTTGGAAGGCATCCTCTCGGTGTGAAAGGCACTGTATCGAAACGCGAGGGTTTATTAGCGTTGCTGCCTGCGCCTCTGCCTTTGATTTCGCTGCTAAAGGAACACAATGCGATGGATGCCTCTCATTCCACCAGGAATCCATTAGCAGCGAGATTTGTCTTTCCTGATCAGCCTCTCCTTATATCTCTCTCTCTCTATTTATATATATATATCAGGCGCTCGCTGGCTTGGAACCTCTACAGCTGGGAGTGTCTTGGCAGCAGCTTTAAGGACCACCGTCAATGTTTCTCTGTGTTGCGAGGACACTCTGGCAGCTGTTGAAAGATGATTGTTATCGCGTTATTTTTCTCCTCTCTCCCCCCCCCCCACCCCCCCCCCTCTTGCTGTCTTGCCACAGTCTAGCCGTTGACCTGACCTCGAACTGACTAGCACCCACTCCCCAGGAGTCAGACCTCTGGGTTTATCCTGCAGCGAACAGGGTACCTATCACCCACAAACCCACCGATGATTTCCATTTCCATCGCACAACAGCGTCCCCTCACGCAGAGTAGCGACTCGAGAGCGCTCGACAGTGACGCAGAGCTAGGGGGTGGGTGACCCGTGGACACGGTCAAAGAGGAAGGTTTTCAAACGTGACCTGAAGATGGGAAGGGGAGGGGGCAAGGCGGAGGGATTGACAGACACTGACTTTCCGTGAGTGCTATCCCGACACTATCCTAATGTCGTTCGTCATCATCTGGGAGCAGAGGTGCTGTGGCGTTACTCCCTCCAAAACAAAAACCAATAATAAATTAGTCATTTTCAATCTACGACTGTTTGTGGGACGCTGCTGTGCCCAATTGGCTGCCGCGTTCGCCCACAAATATACAGTCAATTCACTTTACAGTCTATTCCGTGAAGCGCTTTGGGAGGTCTAGAAGACGTGAAAAGCGCTATATCAAATGCAAGGATTATTATTATTATTATTATAAAAGAGAATGTGGCTCGCTGGAGCTCAAAGTTCCCAGAGGCAGGGTTTGAACCCACACCCTTCTAACCAGGAGGCGAGAGTGCAACCGACTGAGTCAGGCTGCCAACGTGGCAGTGTGGTAGAGATGGCATTGGGCATGAACAGAACGACCCTGCCTCCCAATCCCAGATGGCTCTGGCTTGTGTCCCGGGTAAAATGCATTACTTGTGTTTTTTTCTGTACAGTTCCAGTGAGGTTTCTCTGGCATCTGGTCTGTGTGACAGAAGGCAGCGAGGGAAGGAAGCTGCCATCTCACCCCATGGAAGTACGTCTGCTCCCTCGGCCTCACGGCAACTTCCTCACTCACTCACGGGAAAGGTTCGGCAGTTCTGAGGCTGTTAAGAGTGACCGAGAACGGCATCCGAATGAATTGGGATGGATCCACCGTGCAACACAGCCTTCCTGGGCGATTGGACAGAGAGCATTTATTTTTAACTGATGGGAAAATTATTGCCTAATTACGTGTTAAAGCATCAAATCTATTTCCAAAAGCGAATGCTGTGAGTCAAACTTTTCCTTTATACGTAATAGTAATCCTTGCATTTGATATAGCACCTGATCATGTCTTTGAGACATCTCAAAGCGCTTCACAGATTATACTGTAAAGTGAATCGACTGTATATTTTGTGGGCGAAACACGGCAGCCAACAGCAGCGTCCCACAGACAGTCGTGCTTATGTTAATATAATATCACTGCGCTAGGAGCTTATATTCATGGAGTTAAACAGAGTGAGACACAGAAACAGGACATTAATTTGGCCGAACTAGTCCGTGCCGGTGTTTACACTCCACACCGCCTTTCAGCTTCCAGTCGAGTCCTCTCGATTTGCAACTGTCTTTTATTCAAATAAAAAAATCTATATGTTCCACAGGTAAACCGTCCAGATATTGAAAATGGCAAACCACAAAATAACGATTTGGCTTTTCCCGACTCGAGAGATTTCTACTTTAATTCTCCTGTTTCAGAAGATACCAATAGGTCAATGTCAGCAGCAATTAGAATGAAATAAGTCAAACCTCACATGATGTTTCATTACAGCTGCAAAGCAGAAGGTCTGCAAACTCTCATGGTTTTAGGCTTAAGAGCAAAATGGTCTTAATATTTATGGTGGTGGGGAATTTGGGGAAACAGCCTTAAATTCTACTTTGTTGTCAATAATAATCCTTGCATTTATATACTTATTTATATACCACGTCATTGCAATGTCTCAAAGCGCTTCGCAGGATTTACTGTAAAGTGTAGTGACTGTGTATTTTGTGGGTGGGAGATCCTCCTTTCTCTTTTTGAGTTAGTACAGTGGGATCTTTGACGTCCACCGGAGCAGACAGAAGTGTCGTCCTTCGGATGAGATGCTAAACAGGGGTCCCTGTTTAACGTCTCATTCGAAGCACACGGCCCTGGAGAGTGTCAGCCTGGACTGCGATCTCAAAGTCCTAACGTGGGGCTTGAACTCACAACCCTCTGCCTCAGAGGCAGGAGTGTGTTTGCCAAAAATCTTAAAGGTCTAAGTGCTCAACGATCCTCACGACGACCTTGAACTGAAATCGTTGCAAGAATACCTTCTTAAAAAATTGCGACCTAAGATAACGGCGGTCGCTGTCCTTTAGCTCTTAAGCATTGAGGTTGAATCGAGACGAAGCTCCGTGATCGGAATGTACATCTAAACATTTCCGTTCAGGGAATGAGTTTGTATCTGCCGTAAAATGCAGGGGAATCTTCGCTCAGCTTCTGTTGTCTGCAAACTTAAAGGCGCATGACTTAAAAGTCCTGACACAATAGCTTCGCTGGTCACCAGAGTGAAAGACATCAGGCGACTGTTTTTTGCGCTGTTTGCAACCAATGTCTAGACTTTATGGTAATTTAATTAAAATTAAAAATACAAGTGAAATCAAATATACCACAACAGGAACTTGTGACTCCAAATGGCTCGGCTTTTGTAGGGTAGCAAAAAAGGCTCCGTGTGAGCCGAACAATTGTGTTAAGCAGACGTGTTCACAAAGTGTCCTTTTCACACAGCACAATGCAGATTCTGCTCTACTAAATAAAACAGCCCACATTCAGACGGAGATGATAATAATAATAATAATAATGATCCTTTAATACTCCTTGCATTCGATATAGCGCCTTGCATGTCAAGAGGATGTCTCAAAACGCCTCACGTGATACATACAATAATAATCCTTGAATTTGACATAGCGTCTTATCAATCAAAAAAGATTATTTTAGTGATTATTACCCCCGGAAAAGCGATCCGCCAATCGCCAATAGGATAAGCTGTAAAGTTTATTGACTGTGTATTTTGTAGTGATGAGATACACATCTATGACATTCACAGAGGAAGCGGGCGTTAGGATTTGTGTGTTATTCCCTGACTTTTGCTGCTTCTCCAAAGCCACACCTTGCCATGCTTTCAATTAGAAGCACTTCAATCTTCTTGCTATTGATTGGGAAGCTCTGCACTGATATTGATCAGAGGCTGATCGATATTTTGCAACCCGGCTCTGCTCAACCTATGGGTGGGAAAGGGGGGAGATACTGTCAGTCCAACTTGGAAAGGACGCTCCCACTCTTGGCGTGTTGTCAAGCCGTGAATCACATAAACTCAAGAGAAATCGGAAATCCATTCTCTTCCTTCTGCTTTCTCTTCTCAAAGCCCAATGCACACTCAAAAGGTCCCCACAAAGCCTTGGCTCTTGCCACCCCTGTGCCTAATACTCTCGGGTATCAGCTACGCAGGGCTCGTCCCTCCGAGGAACGACGACAACAACAACAAGAAATTACATTTGTATAGCGCCTTTCATGTCGGGAGGACGTCCCAAAGCTCTGGAATGAGTGCTGGAATGAGGGAAAATATCCCAAGTACAGGTTGCATACCCATGTGGGAGTCTTGTTAGTCTGGTTTGGATACACTTAAGATGGGTCTATAGGTGAATCAGACACCAGGCTGACCAACAAAAAAAAAGCCCACAGTTTAGCCAAAGCGTTTTCTTTTCCAGCTTCCACAGTTCTTATGAAAATAGAAACATTTCCTTTCAGGGGTAGATTTTACTGCATTAAATATGGAAAAAAACAAAGGCTGCTATTATCGTCGAAGACAGACAGACTTGAAAAGCAAAACGATGAGATATAATTTAGCATCCGCCAGTAATAATGGGCCACTCATTTCCACCCTCATTTATTAGCAAACGCAATAATATTTTTGCAAAGCAGCATTCGGAGCCTAATGTTCTGAGCTCGCGAAAGGCATGCCAACTGTTATTCTAACCAGTCTTTGAAGACTTCAGCCAAGAAAGTGTTCTCAGTGCAACGTAATGAAAACAAGCAGTGCTGGGGCTCTAATCAGGTAGCTAAGTGCACAGCCGTTCAAGACAACAGCTCAGACACACAATGACATGGTGCCTCTCTTTTGACCGTTCTACATTAGTATTCTGCAATACAGTGGCCCGAGCTTGACTGTCCTTTCATGAAAGCAGTCGTTTGGGTACTTTGACTGGCCGAGAGGCACATCTTGTGGCATCGGAGTGGCACGTAATTAATCGACCTCTCTCGCACATGTCGGCTCTTGCAAAAAAAGTAAACAGTTGAGAAATCAGAAAGAATTCAGCCAGAAGCACCGCGCACTGCTGCGCTCCAAGATAAACATGAAAGCAATCTCCAAAGTCCTTCTTCGATCGCTGGGAGAATAACTCCCCCACTGCATTTTCTTCCTACAAACAACTTGTCACCGTCTTTTCCTTTTCCCACGGCAACTGGCGGGGGTGGGGGTGGGGGTGGGGAACGTTCTCAAACCCGGATTGGCATCCGTGCGGAGAGAGAAAGGGCTGACTTTAATATAATGGGCACTGCGACAAGACGGTCAACAATGATAGCGGAAACGTACAATACCTGTGGCTGATATAGGCTGCCAGGATCTCTTGGTCCTATTCCCACAAAGGGACGGTTGGCTGCAGCAGTGCCTGGTGTTGTGTACGCTGAAAGGAAACAGCCGTGTTAGCAGATAGTCTCAGAATATTGTCTTCGTGTGCATCGCTAGAAGCTCCTGCCTATATTACGTAATATATAATAATAATAATCCTCGCATTTGATACAGTGCCTTATCCCGTCATTGAGACTTCTCGAAGCTCTTCGCATATATTGTACAGTGGATTGACCGTGTATTTTGTGGCAGCCAATTGTGCGCAGCGGTGTCCCACGAACAGTCGTGGACTCAGTGACCAAATTTATTTTATTCTTTTGGAGGGATTAATACCCCCGGAAATCGATCTGCCATCGACTAACAGCCGGGTTCCTATTTACTGCTACGTAAACAGAGGCGTGCAGAGTAAGGAAACTTGCCGAAGGTTTCACCCTACCCGCTCGGGAATCGCACCCGGGTCCTAAGGTACCATTCACCAACCCATGTTAAAAAGGGGCCCAAAGCCAGAGCGGTTTTCAAATTCCTTCGGAAACCTGTGCACTTGCTGATTTTCGTAAAACATTCAGATGCTTTACGCGTTTGATGCTCTGCCCTAAACGGTCTGCCGGGTTATTGGGGAGAAATTCCGTCCGAGCCTCAATCTGTTCCACTTTCTTAGCTTTCCGGAGGGTGCAGAATTCGGCAAGCTGTCGAAATTGAGTCGCGGCTTTGAAGCCGTTTTTCTGTTAGTTTTCAAGAGGCTGAATAGAGCCAATCTTGACCCGGGTGGAATTCTGCAGCCTCCCGTGCCTTACAAAATGTAACCTTTGCTGAAAAGTGCAATCAAAAGGATTAGTTGACTAAGGATAAACAAATGAATAATGCTGGCGTTTGATACAGCGCCTTTCACATCGGGAGACACATCTCAAAGTGCTCCAGAGTATTTTACTGTGAAGTGCAGTGACTGTGTATTTAGTCTCTTATGCATAAAACAACAACAACTTCCATTTATACAGCGCCTTCTGCTTGGGGCAATGTCTCGGAGCGCTAAAACACAGGCAAGTTTGAAGTAAATGGGTCTGGATGACTTGACGACTTCTACATTGGATGAGGTAGGCAGAGGTTACCAATGAAGGGTTTTACAACTCGTTTCATGAATCAGTGGTAACGTCTTAATCAAAGACATTTCACTGGAGCTTTTGCGCTCGGCTGGCTTCCTGAGTTAATGGTTTGCTGTATGTCCAGGACGTGTACTCTGATCCCCATTTGGGGAAGGAATGCGGACTTTCATATTCTCTGAAATCTCCCAGATCAGGTATGGGTCACAGGAGCTGAGCTCTTTCTGCACGTCCCTGACTGTGCATAACAGTCCCCCAGCCGCTTCCTTCGTCTCTTTTTTTGATCATGACCGTCCTCTCTTCGACCGCGCGCCGACGGTCACTTCCTCTCTCACCCCGCCCGGCTCGGTGTCAGGCTCCGCCACTCTTAAGCGCTCCGAGATGCTCGTGAAGGGCGCTGTACAAATACAAGTTGTTGTTGAACAGCTCCCTCCACTCCATCGCCTGACAATCTAATGCTGTGCTGCCTTCGGTTCCAATGCTGGGCAAAAGGCCTCTTCTTACATGGGTCCTTTTGTTTGAAGAAGGATGAAATATTATGAGTAACAGTATCTACCGGACGGAGCCAGCCGATAAGAATGAAAGAGGAAATAACCCTGATATAAAGAGATCTGGTTTATGTGACTATTACCAGCTTACAAGCTCCTTATCCCAACGTGAGGCTCGAACCCACAACCTTCTGACTCAGAGGCGGGAGCCCCACCAACTGAGCCAGGCTGATGCCTGATTTTACACGCATGAGTTTGCACGGGTATACGTTTCATATGTTTGAGTCGCCTTTGCTAACAAATCAGTATTTAAGTGACAGGCTCAAAATGGTTCCGGACTGCGGACTGCTGAGGGGAGGATGATGTGATCAGATTCTGATAGGCTGATGTCATTTGGCGATTTAATAATTGATGTTTGAGATTTGATTGTCGCTGCTGGAAACAAAATGAGGCATCTGGCAAGACAGCACACATCAGTAGCATAGGACGCAAGTCTCCCTTGAATAGTGGGAAGCATTGTTGAAAACAGGACCCACTTAGAGAGGGGGGGGGGGGGGTGGGGGGAAGAAAATGAGTGTTGTTCCCTTGGCTATGTCTATGTCTCTGGTCATAGACAACAGCTGTTTGCCTGGCACCTTTGAGAAGGCAGGACCGAGAGAAAGAGAGGGAGAGCGATGCTCACAATGACTGCAGCGAGACTCAGACCTTAGTCCAATGCGTGTGAGAGGGCTGTCAAGGTTGGCACTTGGCACTTAAACCAAAAGCTCATTGGATCAAGTTCAAGTTGTCCAGCAAATTTCTGCCTTCGCAACGGAGAAATCAGCTGAGCTTTCAACTTATAACACGCTTACACATAATCCCTTCAAAAAAAAATATACTGTAATAATTTGGTGACTCAAAATTGGAGCTATCGCATTTCACCCACAAAATACACAGTCAATTCGCTTTACAGTATCTTCTGTGAAGCGCTTTGAGACAACTCAACGACGTGTTAAGGCGCTATATCAAATGCAAGGATTATTATTATTACTTCACTGTAGTGCAAATGAAGGAGACCCGATGACCAAGAAGTCAGCCATTTTCTTTTCTTTTTAGCATAACAAGAGCTCCAGTGGATCCCTAAAATTGAGAACTTTGTGCTTTTTTATTGCTTATTCACGTTGCTGCGTGTAATCTCCCCGGCATCATTTCCCAGCATCACCGTCTCCGCCCTGTAATACATCCTTCCACTCCAGCAGCTTTTAAACTATATTCCCCACGAGTAACTATTTCGCGGTTCCAGATCGGTTTCACATATGGTGAAGGAACCTGGAATCTAAATCCAGCTTCAGAGTCGAATATCAAGAACCGGTCTTGCGATAGTTTTTTTTTTCGTCCACATGGGATCAAATAAAAAGCACAGAACTCAAATCACAACTACAATATTACAAATAGCACAAATTTAGCAGCTAAAGCAACAGAACCCGACGTGAAAGGTTTTCCATTGCACTCGTGTCTTCAGTCAGTCTTTCCAAACACGCCTTTAAGCTTGTTGGGTTAACAAGGAGCCCGGTGGAAAGATTCCCTACTCCCAGTAACGTTGCCCACTTAATAATAATAATAATCCTTGCATTTGATATAGCACCTCAACACGTCTTTGAGATGGCTCTTATAAGCAAATTAGATAGATTTATTTCAGGAGATATCTGGGGATACAGGATATAGTTTGGACCATGACATGTGCATGTGATTGCCAGGATGGTGGAAGGGGAAATGGATGGACCCTGGTCTTCTTTCAGAGCGGAGGGTAAGAAGCCCTGACCATCATCCCGTGGCATATTAGTTGGATTACTCGCCTCGCAAGCGAGAGGATCCAGGGTCGATTCCCGGGTGGGGCGAAACCTTAGGCAAGTTTCCAAACTCCACACCCTTCTGATTACCTAGTAAGTAGGAACCCGGTTGTTAGTCGATTGGGGGATCACTTTCCGGGGTGGGGGGGAGTGGTGGGGGTTATAATCCCTTCAAAAAATAATAGTAAGAATTCTGTCACTCAATCCACGACAATTTGGGGGACACTGAGAAGTGCTATAGCCACTGCAAATGATTATTATTAATGGTAGTACCCATTTCTATGATGTCTACCCATTTGGTGACGTGGCCGGTGAAGGTAACGATACCCTTAAAAGCAGAAAATGCACTTTGTAATTTTCAAATCCTGTGGCCCCTATAATTCCACGACGACGTTTCTCCAGTTTCCTTTAGGAAAATTCCAGTAGTAATAATAATAATATGATGTTTAAAAAAGAAAAGGCTTACTGGGTGATGTTGGCGATGAAGTTGCTCCACCCTCTGTGGTGGTGCTGGTTGTTTTGGTGTCCGGTGGCATTGCCAACGTCACTGATCTGCCCATGGAGGGGGGAGGAGGTGGCGCCAACATCTGTGTAGAAATGTAGTGGCCCGGCACTTTGCTTACCACTTGACCACTGCCGTTCAGCTGTAAGAGGAGACAGTAGCTTTAATGATTATAATCAAAGGGCTTGGCAGAATGCACTGTGGAACGTTAACCAAAGCAGCCTGAGCATTGCTATGAGCTGAGGCTGGGGCTGGGTAATTGCATGACTGGTGTTCACACGGGGCATCAAACCTCATTTGGATCACTCTGGGCTGAATATATCTGAGGCAGTTCAATTGTTCTCTCCCTGTACTGCAGCGGGAGATTGGTGTTTACATGCAATAGGATCACGACTTAGATTAGCTGCTGACACGTGAAAACGCGCAGGACAGCTGCACCTACTAAGGATGTCTTTATAGTCTGGGCTGTAGCATAATGGGCTTGGGAGGGTGTGTGCACACAGCAGATCCCGTGTGACCGTCTTAACAAGAGGGAACGATGGAAAACAGCCCCTGTGAAGGGTGAGGAGAGAGGCGAGGAGAGAGGCAGGGAGGGAGGGTGGGAGGGACAGAAGCCAAAGAGCCAAACAGCCACGTGCCATTTCTGTTTCAATGGGATTTTTGCAATGCAAAATTGCCAGCACCAGAAGTGTTTTGCTGACCAAACAGAAAATAACGAGGTTTGCGGTCGCCTGTTTGTTCCCCTTTGACAGATGTGAAACCCATTAACAATGCAGATGTTTGTGACATTAAGATCGCTCCGTTCATCTTAATGGCATCGATCGTTCAAAACATCTACAAGTAGGTCAACCCCAGTCAGGGGGAGGAACGGCCTTGTTTATTGTCACTGACTTTAACAAAGGGCCACACGCTAAATAAGGTGGTGTTTTGGGTGATTCCCCGATACCAGCGCTTGTTCTCCTCACGCTAGGTCTGCTAAACAGGCGCAAGGTAGAACGAGTGAACATGTCTCGAGACATTATTTACTTCGATCAGAGGGTAAACGCGACGGAGAGAATCATGAGGCGTGTGTTGTGATGTTTAGCACTGGTGCTAATTATCACAGACCGCATTTCTCCCCTTCATGATCCCCCACCACCACCTCCTGGTTTGCTCTCATGGAGTTAACATTGAGCCATTCTGCCTAATGTTGTTGATACTTCCAGCTATTACTGCATGACTGAGAGTGTGATATCCAACAAACTACAGCAGGACCTCTCCACTCACGGCCCTTTGTGGGACGTTGCTGTGCACAAATTGGCTGCCGCGATCGCAGCTCTGAAGATGCTTCTCCTCACGACGCACATACACACGTCCCTGAACGATCAGCCCTGTCTCAAAGCCAGCCTGGTACCCTGCACGGCTGTTAATTTCTTTCAGTCGTCATTAAGGTGTCAAGCCTAGCCCTGGCTCAGTCGATTAGCAATCGCCCTCAGAGTCAGAGCGTTGTGGGTTCAAGCTCCCCCCCCCCCCCGCCCCCACCCACACAGGGACTTTGAGCTCACAGTCTAGGCTGACACTCCAGTGCAATGCTTGGAGGAGATTTGCATTGTTGAAGGCGATGTCCTTTGGATGAGACACTAAACCTAGGCAAGGTGGACATTAAAAATTCAGAGGGAGCTAATTGAAAAGAGAAGGGAGTTTCTCCTGATGTCCTAGCCATTGATCCTGCCATATAATGGTCACTCGCTTCATGACTGTTTGTTGGGGACAAATCAGCTGTCGTGTATGTCTACAAATACATTGTCACTGCATTTGACAGTGACTACCTGTGATGCGCTCTGAGACATTTTGACTTTATAGGCACAATATTAAATGGAAGGATTTTATTATTATTTGTCTCAAGAGCAATATTGTGCTTGTGGCACAATTGCAAGCCAGCTGCTCAAACAGTAAAGCACTGGGTGTAAACGAACCCGCTTCACAGTTCCATTGAATTGCTTTACCCAAGCTCCTTTCCATGCTTTACAATAGGCGGACAGGGAATTAGCCGAACATCTGATGAATAAATATCTTATAAAAGTTTATGGGCAGAGAACGGGGAAATGGGGATGGATCCGACACAAGCTATATCGAGCTCTGGTCAGGGCTCAAGAGTACTGCACACAGTTCTGTGACATTAGGGCCTTAGAAGAAGACCAGAGAAGACCAACAAGGTTGATCCTCAGTGTTTCAGGAATGAGCTATGGACAACCATTCGACATCCTGGGGTTCTCCAGTCTTGAGGGAAGACCTCACAGTGATATAAAATTTTAAATGGGATTGAAAAGCAAACCCAGAACAACAACAACTTGCACTTATATAGAGCCCTCCATGCAGGATAGCGTCTCAGAGCGCTTAACAATGGCGGAGACTGACTCCAAGCGGGTGGGGTGGGGGTGAAAAAGGTTTTAAGGCGGGACTTGAAAAAGGGGAGACAGGGGGCAAGGCGGAGGGATTGAAGGAAAGTGTTCCAAAGTTTGGGGGCGTAGTGGCTGAAAGCGCGACCTCCAATGGCGGAACGGAGGGTGCGAGGGACGCGCAGCAGGCCGGTTGCCAGTCGAGCGGAGGCGCCGGGTGGTGGACTGGGGAGTGAGGAGCTCGGAGAGGTAGGGAGTTGCCAGGGTGCGAAGCGATTTGGACACGAGTGTGAGGATGCACCAAGCCAGCAGAGCAAGAGAACATGGCTTTAGAGCTGAGAAGAGGGCAATTTCAGGATTGACGCCAGGAAGTTTTTCTTGACCCAGGGAGCGATTAACGACTGAACCAGGTGGCCAGGAAGGGCGGTTGAGGCCAGGACACTGGGATTCATTTAAAAACACAGCGTAATGCTGTGATGGGAGGAGGGCAGGGTGGGTGTCCTGGAGGGATGAGAGCAGTGAGCGGAAGAGCCTTCTGCATCAAACCCATCTTATGAGTAGATAGTGGAGAGCCGGCAAAAAAAAACACACAGCCACTATAGGCCGGAGAGACTCATTCTGTGCCAACAGCTCTATGGTTCTTCTGTCATAAAGAGGTATTGTAACCTAGTCAAAAGGAGTCTTTTCGTTTCCAGTAAATCGCTTTCTTCCTGGCGAGCGATGTTATCGCAGCCGTCGGGTAGGTTTAATGGAAGTGACGGTAAAGGGGAAACAGTACCGAGGGGGGGGGGGGGGGGGGGGGGGGTGCGGGTAGGGGGGGGGTGTCAAACGGGCAATGCAAGTCTCACGCCAGGGCTGGACCTTAGCGGTCACAAGTAGAAGTAGCAGTTGGGAGTGGAACATTTAACCTCCGTATATCATCTCATGATCGAACATTCCACCACCGTCAATGCCTCCGCTGATGTCTGGAAACCCTCCCCACCCTTCCACCTCATCCCAATGGTTGAGTCCGCTGGACGTCCGCCACTTGGCCACAGTCGAGCGCCAGTTCCCAAGTGACCGGTTGCCAACCTAATGGTTCCAAAGTGACCAGTTGCCAAGTTTACTGGCTCCCCAATTAGCGGTTGCCAAGTTACTGGTTGTCAAGGTACCGGCTGCCAAGATGCGGGTTGCCAAGTGACCGGTTGCCAAGTTACCAGCTTAATTCAACTTTCAACGTTGGGGTGTCTGCCCCCCCACCCCCCACCCCACGCACCCCCACCACACAGCCCCCCCCCCCTCCAACTCCACTCCGCATCAAAGCCCCTGAAAAGTTGGGTCAAGCAAAATCCGGTTCCGCTTGGAACCAATTTATTGAGGTTAGTGTCACCGTAATGACGGATTCTGTTAGTTTACCCTCTGTGGCTCTCTCTCACTCTTCTTGAAGATGAAGGGAAACCACATTTGCTCATTTGCTAACCTTTTTGGAGCCTCCCCCAGTTTTCATTAATGCTTTCTCCCCCCCACCCCCCCCCCCTCCCCACCAATCCTCACCCCTCCACCTCGCCTTCAAAGTATTTCTAGGTGGATGTGTGAGAGGAATGTCAGCACAGAAGGAGTCTCTGAAACAGTAGTGAGAGGTATTGAAGTTCAATGCTCAGTGGGGTGAGTGAGAATTCCACAGCTCAGGAATGTGACCATTAATTTGAGGGGGAGAGCGAAGGTAAACTGGAATGTGCAGTTAATTAGCACCCCGTGCTCCAGGACAGGGTTCGAAAGTCAACCCGTGGCCTAGGTAACGTGCTGCTATACACTATGATGGTAATAATAATAATAATAATAATAATCCTTGCATCTGACATAGCGCCTTTCCGCACCTGTGGCCTCATTCTCACTCACTGAATGAACTCTGGTGTCACACCTTTGCCGTTCATTAGCTGAGATTCACTGTGTGTGCGTAGCCTTAAAATGACTAACCTTAGGTAACATCACGGGGAGATATAATTGAAGCTACTCATTGGGATCAAAACTGCAGTATTCCTAAACACAACCCTTTATTTCTTTAAGACATGGTGTTTTGAACCCCCCCCCACTCCCAAAACTCCATCTTAATGATGGTCGCTGCTTGAAAAAGCCTTGAACCATCCCTTGCCAGGACTTTGGCGTGAATCATTTTATTTTATCCTGGTAAATGATCATAATGTTTCCTATCTAGACAACACTCGTTAGGTTGGGATGATATCTCAAAGCGCTTTGCAGGATTTATTGTAATGTGTAGTGACTGTATTTTGTAGGTAATTTGCCAATTTGAGCACAGTCACGTCCCACAAACAGCCTTGAAGTGAATGACAATTTTTTACATGAGGAAATCTACTTCGCTTCAACTTGAAATGTAAATCCCGTAGCGTACACAAGGGAAACTGGGCATGAGATAAACTCATTCACATCAAAAAATTCTTGCGTGGAAAAGAATCGGGTCAAAAATATTCTATATATATATTCTCTTTGCATCTCAAAGAGTCCCATGGCTTGAATTTAGTTGTCAACGTAAGTCCTGGCAAACTATTTTTCTCAATGGTCTCAAGAATGTTATACACACACACATATAGATATATATGTGTGTGTATATATATATATATATATATAAATAAAGGCTTCTGTGTGCGGTCACTGCTCACATTACATTACTGAGCAGGTTCCAATTTTTTTTCTGCAGAACATCAAAGGAGGGAACGGACATCTTGGGAACAAAGGGTGTTTGGAGACTGGGGAGTTGTATGTTGGAAACATACAGGGAGGCAGGAAGATGAGAGCTGTGACATTCACAGGGATCCAGAGCTGAACCATTAAAGAGCTGCCAATGCCTGTCACAAAGTAGAAGGGAGGTGAGCAACGGGAGAGGAGAGGGCTCTGAGCGCTTGCTTTCATCCTCTGGCTCCTGTGACTTCTACGCGTTGTAGAGTCAGTGTTTGTCGAATCTGACAGTCGTGTTAAAAGGCCGTCCGTCGGACAGAGTATAACTGAACACGAAGCGAAAATAGTCTTGTCAAATACTGCGCAAAACACTCAAGGGTGGAAAATGTAAAGGCTCGCAACTTCCACAAACGTCCATCATTCTTGTAGCAGAATTTAAGGATCGTAATTAGGAGCAACGTAGGGAAATAGCAGGATGAGATTTAAACAACCGTACAACTGCCTGCACAACGCAGCCTCGCCCTCGGAAACTCAGCATGGAGCTTCCACACGGAAACAGGTTCCAAATCGTAAACGGGAATGGGAGCAACGCTGCTTGCCATTGACCAGGGTCGGACAGGACACCAGTGGATACCCGCGGAAGAGAACACTTTTCATTCTTGACTTCCACCGCACAACAGGCAGAGTGTCACGTCTACACTACAGCCCCAGTACTCAAGCTCTGCCTCAATACAATACCATACAAATTTACATTGAATACAGCACCTTTCACGGCGGGAGGACAGTCCCCAAGTGCATAACAGAACTCGAGCTGGAGGTGGGAGCCAAACAGGGATGCGTGGGGAGTGGGGGAGGAAGACTGAAGGCAACAGTCAAAGAGGGTGAGGGTGGGAGGGAGAGCGAGTCGGTGGGAATCTGGGATGGAGTTCCAGGGAGTGAGGGCAAAAAAAAAAACAGTCTGGAAACCCGCCTGTCAACGGCGGGGCACATAGGTCAGGTCAACCCCGGTTCAAAACAGTTCACGACTTAAAACTTACACGAACTTATTTATTTTTCTTCATCAAAAGAAAAAAAAAGGCACCGATTATAAACAGACACATTTTAACTGAGGTTTTTTTGCACAGCAGTTCCTAATTGAATTAGAATGATAAAGCCACTTTACGTCGGAAGATTGAAAATATAATTATACAATTTACCACTGTCAAACCCGAGGTGTTTTTTTTTCAATATATATATATTAAAAAAAATCTATAAGCGGAGCATCGAGGGTAGCAATTACGTGGAGAATAATTCAGTAAACGAAGGAGCGTTGACTGCGAATGCACAAATGATAATAAGCCACCGCTGTGTGTGTATGCCTCAGTGAGTAAGATACACCTCTAGGGGAATCTCTGTACAAAATGGAGCTTGAACGTTGAAAGTCAGTGAAACAACAAAAAAAAAGGCTGTTTAATTACTGCACACAAAACGCTCACTGCTGCACCGCACAAAGCAATTTAGTGCTATTTGTTCCAATTATCGGGACGCTCAAAAGAGCATTTGGTAAAGCTTCATAGAGTTTTAACACCATCTTCCTGCAGTGGTTTAATGTCACAACAAGTCTAGTTAATCTGTTAGGATGGGAGCTTCGCAATAAAACTTGTCGCCATTAATAATTCCTGCGAGACCGAATCGTGGGTCGAAACAGTGGTTTTTTTTTAAAAAAAACTCGGGTTAATAGAGAGCACATTTTAATATAATTGTGTTCGCCGCTTATCTACGTACTGGGAGCATCGAAACAGTTCCTGTTTTTTTAATATACTTATATGTGTGTTATGTACGTGAAAAAAAAATGCTGCTGCCAAGCACTGCTGTAAGTAAATAAAGGCACAGAAAGCACTTTGACTATAGGGTTCATAAGTGTGGTGTCACCTTCACGTGAGGATAAGATTCCCCAGGGCCTGGGGGGTAGAACAACTGATATAAGGTGTCTCGCTCCGCAGGAAGCATGCGTCCTCTCATCTGAGCGCGAAGTGGTACTGTCAGTGAAGCCATGGTGATGTCTGTAGCTCGGTCGCCCTCCCTCCCAGGCTGTGCGGAGGCAAAGGGCCCGTGGTGGGGAGAAGAAAAATGGGGATAAATTGGGAAAATAAGTAAATACACACCGACCATTTTTTTTTCTTCTTACAAGACAATCCTGAACTAAAACTAAAACAACGACTAACTTTGCACACTACAGGTTAACGGCCGAAACTTCTTTTTATCTCTCTCTTCTCTCTCTCTCTCTCTCTCTTGCGCTCTCTCACTCTCTCTTGCGCACTCTCACTCTCTCTTTCTCTCGCTCTCTCGCTCGCCCGCGCTAACTAGCAATCCTTGCATTTTGATAACAAGAGTAACTTGATTTAAATGAAAACAAATCTTATCATTCTGCTAGCAAAAAAAAAAGCACATTTCTATTGCAAGATGTCTAACTATAGTCTGCGGACTAAAGGGCAATCGATTGCAAGACAGAATGCAAATACCTAACTGCACTGACCAAGTAAAATTAATGGAACCTAAATTAAGCCTGGCTTAAATCCGTTTGCTATACAATCAAATGTAATTACTGTATATGTTTAAACAAGGTCACATGCATAACCTGGGCAAAAAAATGTTTATATACTTTCAGCCTTAATTACTACACAATTCAGAGAGCCAAGGGAGGAGACAATTGGCGGTGATTTTCCCATAAAAATCATGCATTTTTAATTAATTTGGGTTCAGCGTCACTGAATAACGAACAGAGAAAGCAAAGAGGAAAGAACACAGCAACTAAACCGAGATCGATCTGGGCACAAGAACACAGGCTCTGTAAAGATTCGAGCAACATGCTGTTTGAATTTGCTCCTGTTCATTATCCTTGTGTGGGGGGGGGGGGGTGTGGGGGGGTGGGGGGGGGAGAGGACTTCACACGGTCTAGGCTGATGCTCCAGTGCAGAGCTGGGGGGGACCTCTGCATTGTCAGTGCCGCTTTCCCTACGGATGTGAGATGTTAAACTGAGTTCCCATCTCTGCCGGTTCAGGTGAACGTTAAAGATCCTGTGGCACTATTCGAAATGAGAAGGGAGTTGGGATAGCAGGTTTGACCACATTCTCCCACCCGCACCCCCCCCCAATTCCGCCCCCACCCCCACCACTTGTGGTAAGTCCTGCCAGCTTCCAGGTCCTGCTCTTTAGTGTTAAACTTGACTATAGTCACCGCCACAGACTAGTTGGGCCGAATAACCTGTTTCCGTTCCGTGTGAAATAAAGACCAGATAAAATTGTAGGTCCATTTCACGGCTATTTCCGGGGGATTCAGTTTTGTGCAAATTGGCTGCCACGTTCGCCTACAAAATACACGGTCACTACACTGCAGTATATCCTGTGAAGTGCTTTGGGATGCCTCTTACGGGGTGATTAGACGCTGTATTAAATGCGAGGATTATTATTGCATTATTATTATTATGTAACGTGATGTGACCTGGACTTCAATGCAGCCTCTCCTTCTGTGTTGCATGATAATAGGACCAACCTCAGGGTGGGATGGGATGGGGAGAGGAGGAGAGGTGGGTGGGAGGTGAAGCAAACCCTCCCTGAGCTCGCAGCTGAAGGAACCACAAAGAGCTGACTCGACAAAACAGACGGAGCTGGGGGAGGGGTTGGGGGATTGGGATAAGGGGGTGAGGGGGTGGGAAAGAACTGGCTCACTCAGATGATTCTCAAATCATGAGATACACTTCCCTTTTCTCAATCACGTTTTTTTAGATGAACAGTTTTATAATGAACAATCTATTTGCATGGGGCGGGGCAGTGGTGGTGGGTGGTTGGGGGGGGGTGGGGGGCAGGGGGTGGAGGAAGCATTGCAGTCAGATTTGGAGACAAGAGAAGAGACTGTTATATTAATGTCATTTCCCCCCTCCCTAACCCATCCCTCCTTACCCCCTTCGCCATTAATGTTCTGCACCCTGAGACCCAAGTAACGGTACAGAAATTGAGGTGAACACAGGAGACTTTCGTTGGTGTAAAATTGTTGGACGTCAACCCCAATTTTCCTGACGTGCTTATTAAATAGCAAGGAGGCCGTCTTCGGTATGGCAGAGGCAAAATAATTTGCTGTCAGCAGTCTGTCTTATGAAATTCTTCGATACCGACAGTAAATAGTACACATAAGCTCGGGATTAGTTTAATGCATTTCTGGACCAAATGGAGAGGTGGAATAATAACAATGCTCTGACTTTCCCATCCAAGAGATTGTTCTTAATTCTGCTTCCCCCGCCCCACCCTCTATCCCCTATCCCCCGCCATCATCCACCCAATAATCCACTCCTCTATCAACAGGCGAGCTTTCCGCCTTTCTGCCCCTCGCTCTCTGGAACTCCATCCCCGAATCCCTCTGCCTACCTGCCTGCCTGCCTCCCACCCCCCCTCCGAACCCTCCCCCCCCTCTCTCGCAACCCTCAAAGCCCGCCTTAAGATCTATCTTTACGACTGCGCTTTCGGTCATCTTCCCCCACACTTCTCACCCCACTCGCAGTTCAGGCTTCCAGGCAAATGTGCCAATGCTTCTGATCTGTGCTTTAAAAGGAAGTCAATTCACTTGACAGTATATTCTGTGAGAAACACTTTAAGATGTGATAAGGCGCTATATCAAATGCAAGTATTATTATTATTACTACTACTTGAAAAATGACCAAACTTGGACTTGCAGCCCACCAGCTGGGTCATCCATCATTCCTAGCGTCAAGTCCATTTTGTATTTTACTGTAGAGTGTCATGACTACATTCCTACGTTTCGCCCACTAAATACACAGTCAATTCATTTTACAGTATATTCTGTGAAGCCCTTTGAGATGTTTCAACAACATATATCGCTGTATCAAATGCGAGGAGTATTATTGTTATTTGCATTTGCTAGAAGGTCCATGAAACACTAGCACATTGCTCAGTACCCACTGAGGCTGACGTTCCAGTGCGGAGCTGGGACTATGTCAAACTCTCTCCCCCAGAGCCACAAACCATACTGCTCCTGTGATGTGCTTCTGTTGCCCACTGTTCTCTCTAAAGAATGATTCAATCAGAAACTATATCACTGACAGAAGAAAATAAAGAAGGAAACAAGAACAGGCTGTACAAGCCCACTCCATCGAACACCGCCTCAGACCAGTCCTTCACCCTTCCTCTCTGTTCTACCCTCACATACCAAGTCAAATCACCCGCTAGCAACAACATTATCTGTGCCTTTCGTTCTGAAGGCTTCATTGGTAAATGAGTCTCAGGGTATTGGCCTCAACCACTGGCAGGCTGCCGTGTTTCGCCCAACAAAATATATAGTCACTCCACTTTACAGTGTATTCTGTGGAGTGCTTTGAGACGTCTCAAAGGCGTGATAAGGCGCTATATCGAATGCAAGGATTATTATTATTATTATATCATCGCTCTCATTCTCTGCTGGAAAGCTGAGATTTCAAATCAACAACTTGGCGCGAGTCACTCATTCCTACTGCGTTATTCTCTGCTCATAATTCAAGCAACTTAGATTAACGCCGAAGGATGGACTTGAGAGCGAGAGACCTGAAACTTCACCTCTTCGGCAAAGCAAATGAGTAGAATTCTTTCTCCCATTAAAGAGGAAGGGTGTGAGGGAGGGGGGGGGGGTGGGGGGAGAGAGGGTGGCAAGGGACTATTGTTCTAGAATCATAGAAAGTTACAGCGCTGAAGGAGGATATTCAGTCCATCGAATCTGCACCGGCTCTCAGAGCAAGCTGTCCGTTGAATCCCACTGCCCTGCCCTATGCCCACATCCCTTCGAGCCTGTATCCTTCAAACACCTCTCTACTTCCCTCTTGAGACCCTCTTGAAACTCTGCCTCTATCACTGTATTTGGCAGGGCTTCCCACACCCCAACAACCCCGCATGGGAAGACGTTTACTTCTACCTGAGAACTGGTGTGTGTGTGTGTGTATGTTTGTGTAAAAAGAATCGATCAATTAATCTTTACAGAGAAACTCTTTTGACGACAGTGGAACGAACGTGCTGAGGAGTCAATTCCACCTCCCCAACTCCCAATCACAAATATGCTACGTAGAACATCTCCCAGCACGAATCCCCTAACTGACCCCCCACCCCCCGGGCTTCTTTCTTTCACGTCACCGAATAAGGCCTCGGTTTTTTTTTTCCTCGGTTGAACACGGTAGAGAAGGAAGTGCAAGCTTACCGGGCCTGGTTGCTGACTGGATGGATCGCAGGCGAGTGAGACCAGGTCCTTGAGCGGGTCCTGGGGGTTGAGATGCGGAGAGAAGCGGATTGTCGTGTGCGGGAAGTAGGTTGAAGCGGTCTGCGGGAGGATGGAGGTCGTTGGGAAATGCAGCGAGGAGGAGGCGTGGGGACTTCTCGACGTGAGACCTGGCGACGCACACCATCGGAGAGACAAAAAGTGTTTTTTTTTTCTTTGTTTGTTTAAGTCTTTCAACAAGAAATACACCGTCACCACCCTTCACAGTAGTATTAATCCTCGCCTGTTAACGGGGACACTGCTGAGAGCAACTGGCTGCCGCTTTTTGCCCACAAAACGTACAGTCACTACACTTTACAGTTTATTCCGCGAAGCGCTTTGGGACGCTCAACAATCTGATAAGGCGCTGTATCAAATACAAGGATTATGATAACCACAGCTTGCTTCACATAAGATAATGTCTTGGAACGTTTTACGTTGACTCAGGTAATGCAGTTTTCATACTTGCAAATGAGAGGATAAAATTGCAGCATTTCTTAATACATTTGATGTGATGCTAATAATACACAAAAATATTAATTATTAAAACTATTATTAATGATAAAGAAAACATAGTTCCGAAATCATCGGTGCAAATTGTTAATAAGACTGTTAATAAGTCTTGACAACATAGCCAGCGAAGAAAATATCAACCTCCTGCAAACGTTCAGACCAACTAAGAAACGTAACATCCATTCAAATGAAACGTGGCGGTGTTTATGGTCTGGCTGGCTGACCCCTCACTGAAAACCACTTAGAAACTTCCTCTACAGAGTGAATTAAACTCGTAATAAAATAATAATAATCATCCTTGCGTTTGATACAGGTCCTTTGTCAAACGCATTCTGGAACGCCTATGAATTTGCCCCATTCCGAGTTGAGTTCCTCGCGACCACAAGAAGTTACATTTACAGGCTCGGCAGAGGGAAGCCAACGAGAGCTGTTTCCTTACCGCTGTGCACAGCGATCACAGGACGGTGGTGCTGTGTGAAGCTACTCAATCGCGACGATGAGTCCTGTGGAGATGGGCTGTTGAACGGAGACTTGTCCATTTCAGTCTTCTTCACTGTGGGGGACATACCTTGATGGGGGACACAAACATGGCGGGTGTCAGTCAGTACACAACATATGCTCCCTCCTCGAGGGTTGCCCTCGACCAGCGAAGCTCAATGGAAACACAAGATAACCTCTCCTCGCACACTCCCTCCCACCCCCGCCACCACCACACACACACCCACACACCCACACATCTCCCCCAGGCAGAATTATCTGCCTCACTAGCAGCTGAGTAATTATATCGTCCATGTTCAGTTTATGAATGAGAATGTGAATCACAGGTTTCAGCTATCGACAACCTTCTCAGCTTCGCCAAATCCCTCCACGCGTTGTCATCGAGCACAACCTTTCTATTTGTTTTGTAATGTCAAAATAACATGAAATTCCATTGTTGAATTCCTCCCCCATTCGCCGCCTTTAAATGTTGTGTGTGTGTTTGGGGTGTGTGTGTGCGCGTGTGTTCAAGTGCGTGTGTGATATATATGTGTGTTTGTGTTGTGTGTGTGTGTGTGTGTGTGTGACGTATATGTGTGCGTGATTGCGGTGTACGTTGTGTGTGTGCGAGTGTGTGTGTGACATATATGCGCGCGTGATTGTGGTGTATGTGCTCACGTGTGTGTTTGTGTGCGTGCACGTGTGTGTTTGTGTGCGTGCACGTGTTTGTATGAGTGTGTGTGTGTGTGTGTGTGTGTCTGTATGTGAGATCTTAAATGAAAACTCAAGGCTGCCCAGCATTGATTATTTAAGCCCACGCAGGCTTTTACACCTCCAATTACTGGAGTGAATGGATGTCCCTGCAGGACTCTGCTCCACTCAGTGCTGGGTAGAGCCTGAGGCTTTTGTTTTTATACACACACACACACACACACACACACACACATACACACATTAACTGTAAGCAGTGGGACGCTGCTTGACTTTGAGATTGAATCTGTCATGTTATTCCTTGTCGACTGTTCCCGAGAAGCGCCCAAGGACCGGGAACAACGTTTTTATGGAAAAAAAAGTCGCCTTTTTGCTGAGCGCAACTAACTGCGCTCAAGGCCTTAACGTTTTCGCTCATACAAACGTATAAATTCTAAACACTCTGAAATGCGACTTAACGAACGTAAACGTGTGGAATTTCTCTCCCGCTGCAAGCAATTTGGTCATTCCCTTCATGGCTGTTTGTGGGATGTTGCTGTGTCCAAAATGTTCGCCTGCAAAACCCCAGTCACTACCCTTTACGTTCAAATCTTGTGAAGTGCCATGAGACATCCCGACGACGTGATTAGTCGTGACGGGAAGATTATTGTTTATTGTTAATAATTAAATTTTTTATATGAAAAGCGACCCTCCCCCCCCCCCACGTTAACTGTAGCACAAAGAATATTGAAAAGTTTTCTCTGAAAAAATAAGATTAGGATATTGGAACAGTAATTTGAGCATTACTCTCTAGTTAGGGCTGCCTCCAAATGAGATGTTTCACCTCTGCAGCATAAGCTTCGGAGAATGACTGAATACAGTGTGTGTAGCTGTGAATGAGGTCCTCAGTGATCCGTAAAACAGGTCTGGGAGAGGAAAAGAACTCCCAATTGCAATCCCTGCTTATACTGCGTGTATATGAGAGAGTGTGTGTGTGTGTGTGTGTGAGAGAGTGTGTGGCGGTGTACGAGAGACAATGTGTGTGTGTGTTGTGTGTGTATGAGCGTGTTGTGTGCGAGGGTGTGTATGTACGAGTGTATGTGTGTATACGAGATACAGCGTGTGTGTTGTGTATGTACGAGTGTGTGAATGAGTATCTGTGTGTTGTGTGTGTATGGAGAAGAGTGTGTGTGAGAAAATATGAGAGAGACTACGAAAGGGGTGTGCTCGTGATAAGAGTCTGTGTGTAAGTGGGTGATTGTGTGTGTGGTGAGAGTCCGTATACGAGAGCGTGGGCGTGTGACAGAAGGTGTGTGCGTGTGTGTGAAAGAGTGCATGAGAGAGAGAGAGAGAGAATGTGCTTCTAACAGTTTAACAAGAAAAACCTTTCTGCTTCCAAAGCATCTATTGTTCTCCGACTTTTAATGCGTCCTGATTTACGCTGAAATTTAAGACTGCCACGCATTCCGCCGAAGCAGAGAATAGAAGCTACTGTCTCGTGTCACAAAGCGACGTGCAATAATAAACACATCACTCCCATTGTACAACAGCGACCTGACATGCAGTGTAAGGCGATATCAGCACCTGCTTTATTAAAGATACATTGCTTTCCCTTTTGATAGTCTGAACAACACCTATCAAAACATCATAACGTCCACTTTTCATACCCCCATCTCCTCGCTGCATTCAAAGTACTGTACCAAAGTAGATCACAAAGCCAGCTCTGCAGAAAAGCAGTCCATACATTTGATTTGAGCTCAGGAGGTTCATGTTAAGAGAGCATTGCGATCGAATTTTTTTGGAAAAAAAACACCTATTTGAACCCAGGTACGTCAAGATACCATTTTATAACCCAAACTGAGCAGACAGCATCTAAAGGATCTCAGGGTGAAATTATAGCTTTTTTTTTTGCGCAGCCGGCTGTCTGGCACATCACACGCACAAACCCTCACCTCAGCGAACCAGAACTGACAGAGAATTCCACAAACCCGTCACCTCACTTCAGAGAATTCCACACATGGAGGTAACCTCCCCCTGTGTCTGGAACTGAGTTTCAGGTCGCGAACGATCAATAATGCCTAATAATACTAAACAAAGAATAAACTGTGAGTGCGGTATATCGCCTGAAAACGTCTCAGGAAGCATTTCGCAGGAGCGTAGTGACTGTGTGTTTGTAGGTGAACACTGCAGCAAAATTGCCCACAGCGATGTGCCGTAAACAATCATGAACTGAGTGGACCGGTTTTATCTGACTGTTAGCCGGGACACCGGGAGAGAGAAACTGCACTCTCTTTTCGAATTCTGGTTTAACCTCCAATAATTTTGACACAATAATAATAGTAATAATCCTTGCGTTTGATACAGCGCCTTATCACGTCTTCAAGACTCCTAAAAGCGCTTCACAGAATATACTGTAAAGTGAATTGACTTTTGTGGGCGAAACTATCAGCCCCGACCATGACTTACAACAACAACAAATTTACATTTGTAGAGTGCCTTTCACGTCAGCAGGACATGCCAAGGTGCTGGACAGTCAAAAGTTTCGGCCCCGAGCTGGTGGTCGGGATTGGGGAGGGTGGTGGGCGCGGGTAGGGGGGAAAGCTGGGTGATTGAAACCACGGTCGAAGAGGAGGGTCTTGAGACAGGTCTTGAAGGAGGCAAGGGAGGGAGCGAGGTGGAGGGACTGCGGGATAGAGTTCCAGAGGGTGGGGGCAGAGTGACTGAAGGCCCGCCCGCCAATGGTGGAGCGGGTGAGGCGGGGGACGTGAAGCTGGCCGGAGCCCACTGAGCGGGGGGATCAGACAGGATGGTAGGGGGTTAGGAGGTCGCAGAGGTAGGGGTAAGCAAGACCATGGAGGACTTTGAAGGTGAAGCCCACGATAAGGGACTTGAACCCACAACCTTCTGGCCCAGAGGCGAGAGTGCTACCCACTGACCCAGTCCATCCCTTGCTGAGAACACTGGGAACACTTATAACAAAAACAATAATAAAGGGTCATTTTCAATCCACGGCTGTTTGTGGGACGCTGCTGTGTGCAATTGGCTGCTGCGTTTCGCCCACAAATATACGGTCAATTCACTTTACAGTCTATTCTGTGAAGCGCTTTGAGATGTCGAGAAGACTTGAAAAGCGCTATATCAAATGCAAGGATTATTATTATTATTATAACATTTATGCAGGCAGATGAGGTGAAATGTAAGCCTGATGTGGGTTGAGATCTCTGGGTGAAGTAATGTGAAAAACCAGGCAGTCTCGGGGAAGGGGAAGTGGTGAGAGACATAGAGGAAATCAGCTCTGATGCCTAAAGATGATCGAGACCGGTGTGGACTGCAGTGCTATACAGCAACATTGACCCGTAAAGCAATTGAGTGTCACAGTCAAAGAGAGTTCAGAGTGCACTTGCTGGTTAGGAGATGGCAGAGACGAGAGGAATGATCACGGGAGCCAATTCACGGCACGGACTGCGAATTGGACCTTCAAAGGTGCCGAGACTTTGCAAAGTAAAGACCTTAAATTGCCGAGGAGTTAACGGAAGAGGCTTCTCCACTTGAGCTGGGTTTCTGCAGGTGATGCATTCAGCAAAAGCCCTCAGCTCAACAGCTGTTGCTTTGCCTTTTCCGTTGCCTGCGAAGGCATCTTCGAACTCAAGCAACTAACCACTTGTTAATGAATGGCTAATTAGGTCTGTCTAGACAGGAAAACAAAAAAAACTTCCATCTCTCTCGCCCACATCACACCTCCCCCCAAAAAAAGTAATCTCAGCCACCTTCAGGGCCAAAGTTAATTGACTTCAGGGTTAAAAGTCAATCACTTCAGGGCTAAAGTTACAATCCTCCTCAGCCTGAGAGGGTCAAACGGATTTGCGTACAATATCGGAACATTTCCACCCATTGTCTCTCCGAAACCACAATTCTGCATTCATAGAAATATAAAAAGCCAAAGCCTTTGTGTTGATGGAAAGTTCACACCTCAGACTGTTCTGTGCAGTCGAGTCACTGTCAAAAAGGGGCTCATTCGCGACCCACTCACAGCCGAATGTAAATCGCCAAGGACGCAGCTCACCGCAGACGATATTGCAGTAAACTCCTTGTCACTCTTCGCTCTAAGGGAAGAGGGGCTCAGTGACGAGTTACCCGCGAGTTAGGGATACGTATACGTACTTAAGTACCTATAAATGGACATTAAGAGCCGATGAATTCAGTGGTAGTGACTAGTTAACCAAGGCCGAGATGTCAGCAATTTACTGTAGGTTCAGGCAACTCTTTCCACTTGAAACTTTCTTGTTATACGACCTGTGTGGCAGAATCGACAAGCCCCCTGTAACCGGCACTCTGGGATGCTGCCTTGCGTGAGGGGGCGCTATATGTAAATGCAAGTTGTTGTTGCGTCCAGCGAGGTGGTGCCTACTTTCTGGGTCCACAGCGCGCACATATCCATCATCCTCCTCTGTACTCACCTCCTTCCAACTCCTCCTGCCAATTCCTACTGCTGCTCGCGGGTGAGCTGGGCGAGGGGTAAAACTCGCCACCTGGACTAGTGTCAATATCGTCTTCCATTGAACCAGATTTGTGTCGTTTACTCCTGTTTGAGTGGGGAAGGGGGGGGGGGGGAGAAGAGAGAGGACATAAAACACACTCCAATTACAATCTCAGTCAGTGAGTTCACACATGCACTACACCTGATAGTCTTCATTTGCAATCCCATCAGAAACTTTGAATAAGCGGTTGATGTGTTAACAAGAATGATGGTATTTTGTTGTGGTCGTATTCGATAGAGCCCCTTAATCACGCCGTCGAAAGGTCTCAAAGCACTTCGCGTGATTCACTGCAAAGTGCAGTGGCTGTGTATTTTGTATTCGATGGGAGTTCCAATACGATACAATACACATTTATGTAGTGGCTTTCAGGTTGCGAGGATGTCACGAGTGAGCGGTTGATGGCTGTTGGACGAGCGACCAAGCTGGGGTTGGGAGCGGGGAAAGATGATGGAAGACGCAGTCAAAGGGGTATGTTTTTGAGACGTGCCTTGATAAAGGCCAGGGAGTCGGACGGATTCGGGGATGGAGTTCCAGAGAGTGGAGGCAGAATGGCTGATAATCGATAATGGGGCTGATCGGATGCGGGTGGGGGGGAAGACACAAAAAGGTCAGACAGAATATCTGGACCATGACCAGTTTGACCTTGGCGGTTGCTGTCAGCGTCTCACTCCCTGACGCCTCTTCTTATAACAAACGGAGGTTTATGATGAATGCGCAAACGTGTGACAGCTCTATGAGGTTTCTCTGGATCGCTTCCAGTTGTGAGGATCACACTGAACAGAGCTCCTTTGTGAAGCTAAGCCCATGGAAATCGTCTCCAGCGAGGCTGAGGGAAACCTTCTCTGCAGTGGGTTAGAATTCTTGTACAATTACAGCGAGAAGAGCGCGGTAATAGGGGAGTGCAGTGGGCATTCTCTGAGCGAGTAAAGCACTCAATGTCTTTTTTCTGTAAAGGAACATAACTAGGCGGATGTTTGCTGACCTGGTGCATTGTATAATTGCTGCTAACGGACTCCTGGCTTGTTCTGAATGATAACACACTGTAAATGCGATTGCTTTCCTTCTCCTGTGCAGTCAGTGCACAGCTACAATGAGTGACAGGAAGAGGGTTGGTAGCTCAGTCAAGTGTGTGGCCTGGGATTGAAGTTGGCGGAGGCCTAGGCACACACTGGGCTGTCTGCCCTTCTATAGGACACACTCGGTATCTATTCATCTTTCCCTTAAAATACTTCCCTCCCATCCAGGAATGGAGCATTGCACAGAGCCATTGTACACCATAATAGACAATTTACACTCACGTCAGGAGGGTGTCTCAAAGCAGCCAAGCCAAGCTGGGGGTGGGAGCCGAGGGGGGGAGGAGGAGGAGGGAGGGGAGGGGAAAGGTGACTCAAAGAGGCACGTTTCGAAAGGGGTCTCGAACGAGAGAGGGAGTGAATCGGGGGGAGTCCAGGATAGGCTTGTAGAGAGCAAGGGCAGAATGGCTGACAGCCCGCCTGCCAATGGGGAATAGGATGGGTTCATGAAGCTGGCTGGTGGTTACTGAGTGGAGAGAGACCCAGTAGCCATATATATGCACAGGAATCTAACCCCAGTCTACCCCACCTCTCATCTTTTAATCCCATTTCCTACTTTGGAGTCCCGTAGCACAGTGTATCGTGCGCTCTCCTCGCAAGCAAAAGACCCGGGCGGGGTAAATCCTTTGGCAAGTTTCCTTACTCCACACACTTCTGTTTACCAAGCAGTACGCAGGAACCCGGTTGTTAGTCGATTGGCGGATTGCTTTCCGGGGGGTAACAATCTCTCCCTCGCCCCCGTAAGAAACCAGACAACATATTGCATGCGTGTGATGAGTAGCGAGTTATTGTGTTGCAGAGGGCTCTGATATTGGCTGAACAATGGTTTGCTGGCACTCAGTTACAATCCAACACAGTAATTCAGTTGAAAGTTTCCAATCACTTGGGGGGTTTGTGAATGTCAGCAGAAACTCAGGATTGAATTAATTTCTCATATCTGACTGGCAAGTTGTTTGCGATTCCTTGTATAACCTGCAGTGCTGCTGCGTTTTTTTTTCTTGCGGTTAAGTACTTGCTTGCATTTCTCTTTTGCCGTCTGTGACCTTGATTCGGCCGACCCGCCGAGGACACTGGAGAGGCGTGACACGGTGGAAAATCATGGAAGGCCACGGCCAGGCGGTGGGCAAATTGCCACTTCCTGCGCAGTGGGCAGCAAGTGACATCAGCGGCGATCTGATGACCGGAGGTCAGCCATTTTTTTTTTAACGCATGAGAAGCTGCTGGCCAACAGTTGAAGCAAGATGACCACAACAACTTGCATTGATATAGCACCCTTCCTGTAAGATAACGTCTCAGAGCGCTTCACAGTGGTGAGGCAGGACAAAGAGGTAGGTCTTAAGGTGAATTTTATGACAGCTAGAGAGGGGGCAAGGTGGAGGGAGGGAGTTCTAGAGATTAAGGGGTGTAGTGACTGGAAGCATGGTCATCGATGGTGGTGTGGAAAGGGAAGGGAGATGCTATTGACAAATTCAGCAATTACACCTGCACTGCCCCGTCCACTAAGCTGCTTTCGATAAGAAACCTGTTGATACTGATTAATACTAACGTTAGAAAGCGTCAGCTTTCTTGAGACACTCAAACCACAAAGTTATCCTCAGCAAGAGTCATTCAGCGCATTGGGTTGACTGGTCCCTTGTGGGTCGCGAAGTTTCAGTGACTTACCCGCTCGATGAGCTACTTGGCAAAGTTCTCCTCATCCCTGTGGTTGGCGGGTTCAAATCGTAAGCCAGGTGGCCTTGCAATTCTCCAAGGGAGAAATTAGGCCCAGTGCCCGTCACGATGGGAGCTGAATTGCGAAGGAAAGGAAAGCACAAGAGGTTTGGAGATGTCGAGCAAAGTTTACAAACACTTTACAAGCCCGTGTGTAAACTCAATATCCAGCGTCTTGAGGTACTGAGCGACTTGCTACTGCCTCAACTGGTCTGAGATTCTACAGCGCACTCGCCTGCTGGAAAGAGCGAAAGAAAGAGCAAAAGAAAAGCGTGAAAGACGAACGAAAGAAAGGATGGACTGAACGAGCGAAAGAAGGAAGGAAGAACGAAAAAGAAGAGAGAAAGAGTACGAAAGAGAGTGTGCGTGAGAGAGAAAGAATTGAATGAAGTGGCCACTTACTTCTGGATACCTGCACCAGCTCAGTTACATTGAAGACACCCGAAGTCACGAAGCTATCCTGAAATTCCGTGTGTTCTGCAAAGGAAATGAGACGATTCGGTGAGATTTTTAACCCAACTCATCTTCCCCCGGCAGCCGTGCATATTACAGGATAAAGGACCTCTGGTGTTGGCCTACAAATACACAGTTACTATACTTAGCAGTGAAAGAATCCTGTGAAACGCTTATGAGACATTTTGATGACATGATAAGAAGCGATAACTGACTGCAAAGACTGATACTATGCTGTTAGGTAATTAACAAATTAATTAATTAAATTTAGCGACCTTATGATATTCAACACATTGAAAACTTCCTCCTTCCCTGACGTCTTGCTCAGTGACTGGGTGATGATAGCACGTCTGTTCCGGTTAGTGAAATACTGGAGAAAACTGCGCTAAGGTCACAGAGGATGAAGTCTTCCCCCGCACACCCCCCTCTCCCCCTCACCAACTCCACATACAACAGGCAGTTCCGTAATCAGGTCAACACTGCAACTACGTCAGCCCCCAACACACGTCAAGTATCTTTCTTGGCATTGACAGGTTGCAGGGTTTTACACGGCTGATAATACATACTGTACCACCCACATCGGGGTTTCACACCAACACAACCGCCACAAGAAAGGAATCGATGCTTCCTGCCCTTCACCTTCCCGTCACTAGAGAGAGAGAGACTCTGGTGCCTCCAGCTTTCAACCCTGGTGACATCCTCCTCCTCCTCGCTGTGTCCTTTGCCCTCCCTCAGATTGCTCCCCCCAACCCCTTCCCCCCCACTCCCTTTTGCGTAGTGTCTGGAGTCTGTTTCTAGTAACTCAGCAGCTTATTTCAGTCACTGTGCAACAGGGCTCCCTGTGACACCAGTCTAGCACTCGAGCGCCAGACTTTATCCAGGTTTTAGCGTTCGTGAGGTTGGTTTGGATGAAGACGGCCTCTTTGATCTCACTCTTCCAGTTCACAAAACACACAGTCACTCCACTTTACTGTATATTCTGCAAAGTGCCTTGAGACGTCTCGCAGACGCGATAAGGCGCTATATCAAATGCAAAGGTTATTATTATTGTTGTTATTATACAGCTACACAAAACAATCCCGCTTGGCGTCATATAAACCTCTCTCAGGTTCCCCTCTGTGGTGCCTCCTTTCAAAGCCCGAAAGTCCTGACTTATCTAATCATTTCTCTGCTCATCCCTCTAACACTGGGGATCATCCTTGATGGTCTCTTCTCCACCACATCTACATGCTCGGCAGCTCCGTTACATAGCAGGGACGAGATCTGTAGACACAACTCGAGGTACAGCCTGACCAGAGCAATTCACTCTAAGCAAGTGAGAAGCACACAGATTTGCTGATTATAGTCCTGGCATCCTGTTTGCTCTGTTTATTATTGTCTAAAACCCTCTGAATGCCATTAATTTAGTTGTAGACTGCAGAGCGTGGCATCTCAGTGCCTCTTTATCACGACACCTAGTTTGTTCTCTTTCATACACAGTACAGCATTGATAGAGCACAGCGCGACATAGATACACAGCACTTCACAGGCTGTTGCACTGTCAATATCACTGTGCGCAGGAATCACTGACTTTGCTATGTTAAGCTGTGCGCTATTATTGTCTCAGTTTAATTGTCCAGTACAACAGAGCACCTCGGAGCAAGCAATGACAGTGGTGATCTATCTGCCAATATATTTTACAGGTTTTATCTACTTCATTTTATTGAGGCAATCGGTTCATTGACACTTTGGGTTCAAAAGAGTTCAGGTTCCTGTTTACTGGATTTTGAGCATTCAAAAAAATGACTTGGGACACAGTTAGAAAAGGGACAAAGGGATTTTAAAAGGCAGGGGACTTGATTCATAATAATAATAATAATAATAATAATAATAATCCTTGCATTTGATATGGCGCCTTATCACGTCTTCGAGACGTCTCAAAGCGCTTCACAGGATACACTGTAAAGTGAATTGACTGTATATTTTGGGGGCGAAAATTGACTGTTCATGGGCCGTGAACAGATGTTGGCTATTAGCAAAGGGTCCCGAATCCAAACCAGTCTGAATTTGGTCACTTCCATTTACCCAGACACACACTAACCTTGACCCAGATTCTATTTAAGGCAAACGGCTGTCGCTGCTTTTTAGTCTGTTCTGCGCGCAGACAATTATCGCAACTGGCAATTACTTTTACAAATGTTTGCAAACACTTGCTGTTTGGTGGACAATGGGGCCAATGATTGGAATAACACACACATACATACGCACGCACACAAATAAAATAAATTAAAAAGTAAATTTAAATTAAAATGAAAAAAAAAAGATTGTGCCTGATATATATATATCCCTTCACCGCACCCTGAAGGTGTTTAAAAGCGCTTCATGGAATTTACTGTGAAGTGTAGTGACTATTTTTGGGCGAATGCAGCAGCTAATTTGCGCACACCAATATCCCACAAACAGCCAGAAAGTCAATGACTATATATTGCTTTCATCAGGCGGATTATTGGTCAGGACTTCAGGAAAAACTTCCTTTTCTTTTCGCACAGCTCAGACTGTGAATTCAAAGTCTTGAACCCACAGCCTTTTGACTCAAAGGCGACCGAGCCAGGCTGACACCTAAATCCTTTGAGCAAAACTTCGACCCCGATGCAACAGGAAAAAAAAGTGAAATTATTCTGCGCCACACAACATGTGATTCATTGTAAAATGTTACGTAAGAATGCAAATTGTTTCCTTGCCTCGACCGGGGCCACACACGCAGCTCTTAAAAGATTCAAACTTTGCGCTTCTCATCGAAAACGAATAGCGAGATCTCCAGAATGCCATGTTGGAGTCTGGATGACTTTCTTCCTTCCCTCCCTCCCTCCCTCCCTCCCTCCCTCCCTCCCTCTCCCTCCCTCCCTCCCCTCTTTCAAGGTCAATTCCATTTCCCCTCATATAACATAGGAATGGCGAGACCAAAAAAGATCAAGGTCCATCTAGTTCTTCAAGTCTTTAAAACATGACCTTCAGAACAGGTTTTACCACAGTCTGAATTTTTGGGCTGTAAAATGCACAGTCACTGCACTTGACAGTAAATCCTGTGAAAGTTGTCTGCCTGATGTGAAAGACGCTGTATCAAAGTTCAAGGATTATAGTTATTGCTGTCCGGCCAGCTCCTGTCTCTTTTACACAGATGCTTGGAATCGAGGAGTCCCGTAGCGTAGTGGATAGCAGATGCTCGCCTCGCAAGCGAGAGGACTCTGATTCAATTCCCGGGCAGGACAAAACCTGAGGCAACTTTCCACACTCCACAAGCTTCTGTTTACCGAGCAGTAAGTAGGAACCCGGTTGTTAGTCGATTGGCGGATCGCTTTCTGGGGATAATAATTAGGAAATAATAGTAGTTTGGCCACCCAATCCACGACTGTTTGAGGGACATTGCAGTGCGCATTTGGCTTCCGCATTTCGCCCACAAAATAACATAGTCACAGTCAATTCACTTTACAATATATTCCGCAAAGCACTTTGAGATATCTCGACGACACGATAAGGCGTAACATCGAAATGCTTAATATTATTATTATTATTATTAAGTGCCTCTGAAATAATCTTTCTTCCCTAAAATGTTACTGCCATGGTTGGCTGTCTTAGGTTTCAGTCATTCACCGATCAAAATCTTTTCTGCTGCTGGGGGATCTTAATTCCGACATGAACCACTTCACGCTTTAATAGACTCTGCCCAGTTTATTTGTGGGGAGGGCCTCTTCTTCTCCCGGCTCAGTGGGATGACTTGTGCGTTGCAGTGCAGATGAATGTTTGAGATCATACCGCTTTAAGGCAAGTGGGCTGAACCAACCCAACACGCCTTAGGGCTGCTGAGTCAAACAGTAAACACAGGACAAGTTCTCCATGTTCCAAGCTTAAAAAACATCTGTCAGCCGCGAGGAGCAAGATAAAGAGTCTTTTGTTAAAGCAACTGAGTCAATCCTATGCTTCCACTATCCTTAAAGTGATACTAATTCTTGCTTTTGAGGTACCCCTTTGATTCTGAAACGTCTCAAAATCGCTTGACAAGTAACAGAACCTGTAACTTCCATGCCTCACCCTTTTACCATACCCTTTAATACCTCTCCTACCAATTATCTGCCCAGCTCCCTTTTAAGCATCCCAACTCATCCCCCCCTCGAAAGGTTTCTGGTGCAGAGTGGTCCACATCTTCACAACACTCTGTGTGACAGGATGCTTCCTGATCTCAATGCTTCTACCTGTCTTGTTTCTGATCTTAAGGCTTTGCCCCCCTGTTTAATTGCTGGAAGGGGTAGTGACTGCATACTTGAAGGCCAACGCTGCAACCAATTTGCACAGAGCAATGTCCCACTGATAGCCATGGCGTGAACAACCGATATTATTTGGGAAATTGTCGGCCAGGACACCGGGAGGAACTCTCTTCTCTTTTCGAACGGTGTCATGGGACCTTTAACATCCACCCGAACAGGCAGATGAGACCTCAGTTCAACGTCTGATTTGAAGGATGGCATATCTGAGCACTGCACTGGGGTGAGTGTCAGCCAAGGCTGTGGGAATTCAAGGACCTGACATGTGGGGGCTTGAACCCACACCCTTCTGACTCAGATGCCAGAATGCTGCCGAGTGAACTTAAAAGGCAGGGAAAAAAAAGGGGAAAACTTTCAGTAGCGCAGTGAAACATGAAAGACTCTCACGGACTCACCAATGGTTCCTGTCTTGCTATCTTCAGCATCAGGGCCAATCGCAGGCCTCGGGCTGCCAGTCTGCTCTGAATCTACAAGGAAGAAATCGGAGACAATGAGGGAATGACGCCTGCAAAATGCATGTCAATAACTTACAATCACACACTCCAGATGCGCATTCATATCCTACGATAATAATCATCCTTGCATTTGATGCAGCGCCTTATCACGTCTTCGAGACGTCTCAAAGCGCTTCACAGGATATACTGTGAAGTGAATTGACAATCGCACAGTCGGAAAATCTCCACCTATCTCGGCCACTGCTCCCAGCACTGCTCTATACGAAACAGCCGCTGAAAAGTAGCAGTGGTTAGTTTGTAAGCCTCTGTTTGTGGAGGCATCGCCCACAAAACTCAGCCGCGACCCTTCACAGTGAAAGCGCTTTGAGACACCTTGACGAATCGATAAGGCGCTGTATGAAACGCGAGGATTATTACAACAACAACAATAACAAGATTCCATTTATAGAGCGCCTTTCACGTCGGGATTATTATTATTATTATTATTATTATCATCATCCGTGCCGAAACAAAACTGATGGGAATCTGGTTGAGAAAGAAAAAACAGGCACATAGACTACTTTAGAGATGATAATGATTGCCGGGTTCATTTAGGTTTATTCTCAGCCTCTGAACCTTAGCTGTGTCGCAACAGGACAAAGATCTGAAGTATTTGTTTTAATGCGTAATAAAAATAAACAGGCCTTTTGTTTTGAAGTCGTTCCGTCTTGGCACACAAAGAGAAAAAAAAAAGGGATTGCAACTGTTAAGTGCCATGCTCACAGGTTTGAAACGAGGAAACATCTCTGAGTCCCGGCCTCCAAAGAAACCCAGAATATTACCAGCCAGTATATAAAAAAGAGCATTTTTACAAAGTGAAGACAGATGGTGGGGGAGAAAGTGGGATCCAGCAGAACTGCTCGAAAAGACAAGGGAGTTTCTCCCGCCAATGGTCCCGGGTAAAATTGGTCATTTGCTTTGCAGCTGTTTGTGGGCCTTTGCTGCATGCAAATTGGCTGCCGCGTTGGGCCTGTGAAATACGCAGTCACTGCACCTTTCCTTTCACGGTGTATCCTGTGAAGGGTTCCTCCCGACGTGAAAGACTCAAAAACGAGGGTTATCATTGCTGTCTCAAGACCTTCCTCTTTGATGGTGCTTTCGGCTACACTCCCTCCCCCACTCCCCCTGCCTCCCCAGTGCGGGTGCAAACCCTTAACTGTCCAGTCCCTTGGGATGTCCTTCCGACGTGAAATGCAATTGGTTGTTGTTCTAATAAAGTGGAAGGGTGAACTGGGAGAAACTCTTCGCTTACGGCAAGTGGTTTTGGTGCCCAAATGCTCACAGTAATGGCACTCTTACATGACGCTCCGACCCTCAAAGTCTGAGGGTCAAACCTCACTCCACTGCATGGCCAAGACTTGACTAGATAGAGGGAGCGAACCCTAATCTGGTGAGTGGAGGGACGAAGGGGAAGGGGAGGCGGGGGGAAGGGGAGAGGGAGGGTAAAGCGGGGTGAGGTTGGGGGAGGGTAAGTATCTGATTGCCAGCATTGCTGTTCAATGATGCTTTTGGGAAACTGGCTTTCGATAAAAATTAATCCTTCCATTTGTTAGATCCCATCTTTCACGTCGGAAAAGACGCCTCAAAGGGCTTCACGAAGTGTAGTGACTGTTCTGTAGGCCAAGCAGAAAAAAGATTTTACGTTTCACTGTGGTTCGATCTTCCTCTCAGTCAACATATAAACCTGTGCTATCGGGGCTGACGTCCTTTTGGGCCCAGTTAATAAAATCTGGCCGAATGTTCTCCCGATCGCTCCGGCCACTATGTTCCCTCCGTCTTCCACCCTGCTACGAAGCCGGCTAAGGGGTGAAGTCTATGCCTCTTTGTGCTGTTAATTGGCCGACTGAGACACGATGCTCGAATCAGTGAACCGCAGTGATGCCGAGACGTAAAGGTAGCAGCTCAGACGAGCATGTGACAACATGGGGACTCCACAGACTGCAGAGGCTGCTCAGCCTATGAGCCGTTTAGCCTTTATTTGAGCCATAAGCATCAAGTTCAATGCATTCTGGTTCTGTGTAGTCCCAGGGGTAATTGGTGCGTGCTCTCCAGTTTCAGGTGATGACAACAATCATCATAATCCTTGCCTTTGACTCAGTGGCTTATCATGTCCAAGTGCTCCGAGACTATCAAGTTGTCGATGCCTTTGTCACAGATTTAAGTTTTAACAAAACACCTTGCATTTAATATAGCAATTTATATGTGATATATAATATGTAATAATCATTGCATTTGATACAGCTCCTGATTACGTCCTCGAGACTTCTCTAAGTACTTAAATATACATATCACCTGCAAAACGCACAGTCGCTACATGTGACTTCACACATCTGGGATGAGTGGTGCTGTATCGGATGCAAGCATTACCCTTACATTTGATAAAGCGCTTTTCAGGTCAGGAAGACGTCTCAAAAGCCCTTTGCGGGATGCGCTGTGAATTCTGTAAGCTGATAAACAACACAAACAGTCATGAAGTGAATGACCGGTTTTATTTTCTCTGGTGGGGGATCGTCGGCCAGGCCACCAGGGAGAAATTCCCTTCTTGGCTCGAATAAGACCTTGGGATTTTTAACCTTCATCTGAGCAGGGCAAATGGGACCTCGGTTTATCTCCTTATCTTTTGTGGATGCGTTTGGCCCACAAAATACACAGTCAATTCACTTTACAGTATATTCTGTGAAGCCCTTTGAGACGCCTCGAAGACGTGATAAGGCGCTGTATCAAATACAAGGATTATTATTATTATTATCTGAAGGACGGAACCTCCAACACTACAATGGAATGTCGGCCTGAGTTCAATATCCCGACTTGGGGATGGAACCCACAACCTTCTGACTCGGAGGTGAGAGTGCTATCGACTGAGCCGGGCTGACACCCGTGTGGACGATCTCAGGTCGACATTCCAACTGTTCGTCCTTGCACCCAACTACACCTCCAGCCCAGGAGCCTGCCACTCAGAAGGAGAAGCCATCGACATTTAGTGTTAATAAATGCAGAGATGATTGATGGCTCGAGATGTAATATCTCCAATTCTCCAGGGGTGAGAAGAATTGGATCGATCCAGCCTCTGAGAATCTCTGAGTCCCCTCTCCAAGGTAATAACCTTGCAATACTATCGCTTACACAAAGGGCAAGAAATTCTTCAGGCTTCAATCTTATTGTTAATACTTTGGAGCTTTACAGTACCAATCACGGTTCCTACAGTGGCACAATAATAATCACAATAATAGGGCATCCTGCACAGTCGGTAGCACTCCCTCCTCTAAGTCAGAAGGTTGTGAGTCAAAGCCCCAAGCCGTGACTTTGTACTCAAGTGCAGCGCTGAATTGTCTAAGATGCTTTCCTTCAGATGAGATGTTAAACCAATGTATATTTTGTGGGCGAAATCCGGACGTTAAAGGTGGACGTTAAAGATCCAGTGGCACTATTCCAATAGAGAAGGGAGTTTCTCCCAGCGACCTGGCCGACAACACCCCACAAATAAAATTGGTCACTCAATTCAAAACTGTTTGTGGGACATTGCTGTATGCAAATTTACAGTCACTGTGCTTTACTGTGAATCATGTGAAGAGCTTTGAAGCTTCCTCCTGACGTGAAAGCCGCAATATCAAAAAAAATTACAGGGATGGGGCAACAGTGTGGAGTTAGGGGTCTAAAGGTGATCAGTTGGAGAACAGGGAGCACTGGCCTGGGAGGATGGACAAGTGGTCTGGGACACTACCCTACATGAGGGACGCTATATAAATGCAAGTTGTTGCTGTTATGCAAGGATTATTATTATATTATTATTATTGTTCAAGTCAATTGAGCTGGAGGTCTGTGTCTATCCCTCTGCCGGAAGATTTGATAGATCGAGTGAGAAACGTGGCTTTTTTTTAAAAAGGGAAACATTCAATAATTCTCGTAAGTTTCGTAACAGTTTCCACGAGAGAATTATCACATCAAATCTGTTTTGCAATGATGCATTTTCCCAACCATTGTTAAGGACTTAAGTAACCCCCTTTCTGACTTATCTGATACAATGACTATAAAATCTCCAAGCACTTCACAAAGGTTTGGTGAGGTGTAGTGACTGTGTGTTTATTGGACCTGATGCTGATTTTAATATCCTTCTGAGCAGTGGGATATGAAAGGCGCTGTATCAATTGCAAATATTATTATTATTATTATTATTGGCTATTTTCAAAAGCCATCTAAAAATCTACCTCTTTCGACCAGGTCTACAATCACCTCCCTCCCCCCCCCCACCCCCCACTCACTTTCAGGCTCGGTGTTTGATGACTTCTCTGTTAAAGAACTCCGAGATGTTACTCTATGTTGAATAGCGCTGCATAAGTGAAAGATTTTGTTGCTGTTATTGTTCTCGCACCTACACAGGAAGTGGCAGTGCGGGGAGACACTTGTAATGAACATTTTAAAGGGCTTCAAACTGTGATTTCATTGCCAATGATCTGCTATGTCCACACTTTAGCCTGTCAGATCGTTAGCAGCAGAATCACAGTGCAGTACTAGCAACTTTAAGGTTAATCTTTCTTCCCTCAGGCATTTGCTGCTTTCACACCTGGAATATCAGGACTAACAGGACATACACAATGTACCATTAGGCCTTGGCAATAATCCAGAGCATATAAAAAACACAGTAATTTGTCCTTTGAAGCATTATCTGTCTATTTGGTGTACCAAATAACTCCTTGCTTAAAAATGTAGGGAGGCATTCCGCCTGGGTGAATGCTCTGAGAGGCTACCCTGCGTGGAAGGCACTATTTAAGTGCAAGTTGCTGTTGTAGGTGTAGATCCATTCCATTTACGTGGCATTTTACTGTCAAAGTACACAGTAACTGCACTCTATAGTAAATGCTGTGAAGAGCTTTGAGATATCCTCCCCATGTGAATTGCGCAGTATTGATGGTAAGAATTGTTATTCGGAACAAACAGAATTTCGCATTTATTACATGGTGGAAACATCTCAAAGA